CACCAAGAGGGAAAGGTTGGATGGAGAGGGAGAGAGAGGGGCATAATGATTTGTGGTAGTGGAGTACCATGAGTTTCAGGCCGAAGCACTATGGTGGTAATACCTGATGGGGATACCCCAATGTTACATCATTTAAAAATAAATTAGGGCCTCCCCGGTGGTACAGGCGGTTGAGCACCATGTTGTCAAGCTGTCCGCATCCTCTGCAGCACTGGTTCGATCCCAGCCAGCCGGTGAGGGTCCCACATGGTGCGGCAGACCTCTCCTGTCTCACCCGCTGCTCCCCTCAGCAGTGTATTTCATCAGTCTGCCTGTCCAGTTCCCCACTCTGTCTCTGGTGAATCCTCTCACCCACCCACACAATCTGGCCTCTACCCCGGTTCTTGCATAAATAAATAAATAAATCTTAAAAAAAATAAATAAAATAAAAAATAAAAATAATTAATTAATCAAAAGAAATAATGAACAGACTTGAGGAGGTGCCATTCTTCATTCTGCAAACATGGGGCACAGTTTCTATTTGGTGTTTTTTTTTTTAAAGATTTATTTATTTATTTATTTATTTATTTATTTATACAAGCACTGGGTACAGTCAGATGCGCAGGAGGGTGAGAGGATTCACCAGAGCCAGAGTGGGGAGCAGAACAGGCAGACTGACGAAATACACTGCTGACGGGAGCAGCAGGAGAAACAGGAGAGGTCTGCCAAGCCATGTGGGACCCTCGCCCGGTGGTCGGGGATGGAACCATCTAACCAGTGCTGCAGTGGCTGCAGCAGCCTGGCAGCCCAGAGCTCAACCACTGCGCCACCAGGGAGGCCCCACAGTTTCTATTTGTAATAGGACTTCAGTGACTACCCCCATCAACACCTAACCTCCCTCTGAAGAAGGCCACTTAGTTTGACTGAGCAGGACTTCATTTACTACTGACTTGCATGAAGCAAGCACATTTGGCTCTTGGTCTTCCATGACTGTCCAGTATAATTGCTATCATATCACACTGTGGAATGTCCTTTCATACTCTTCCTTTTGTTTGTTTCAAGGCATTAATTTGAGCAATTGCTGCAAGCTGCAACAACTGAATTATTCTTATCTTTTTTGTTTAATAAGCACTTGTATTATTTTGGGGCCAGGATAAAATGACTTGTTGCTCACAGATGGAAAGTGTGGGGAGGTAAACTTTGGTTTCAAAAGACGCATCACCTTAGGTGGAACTTCATAGGACAAAAAGAAAACTACGCAATCTCTCCTAATCAAATGCCGAACAATTTTTATAAACTGCATTTTGGCTAAATGTCAAGATCAAATGTGTGTGCCTCTTCAAGAGGCTTTATGGTGATCAAAGAAAGTAGCCAGCTATATTGAACATAAATACTTAATTGAGGATAATTCAACCAAAGAGTTTTTTCCTTTCTGAATTATAGTACACTGCAGTGGAGAACCTAAGGCTCTATAGTCAGGCTAAGTTGGCTCCAAATCATGGTTTTGCAACTACACTAGACCCATGAGGCAGGTTCTTTACTTTCTTTATGCCTTCATTTCCTTATCTCTCTGGACATGGACTAATGTGATAATGTTGAAACATAATATGTGCTCAACTAATACTAGCTTCCTTCTTTATTGAGATAGTGAATTTCAAATTATTTTTCTTTAGAATAATAAATGTGATGACTTTAACAAGACTCCGTGAATAGTATCAGACTTTAAAATGAAAATATGCCATTATTTATTTTTAAGAACATGGATTGGATTTGGCAGACTCAATGAACAAGAGTCTGTTTAAAAACGTGACTGACACTTTGCAAGGTCAAGGATCTTAAACTCCCTTTCACTCTGCCTAGAACTCTTTGCTCCAGCCAGAATAACTTTCCCATGCGCATGACTTGGCTCATTCTTATTTTTAGTCCTTTGTGTTTAGCAGTCCTCTTCAAATGACCTTCTGAAGCCTCCCTGCCAAATCCCACACTCCTTTAAAATTGTTCATCATTCATGTCATCCAGGAATTGGCAGAAAGAAATCTGGTCACTTGATTCACTCCAGCCTATCTTTCAGGGCTGTAAGTTTCTTCCAGGGAGTTATACTAGGCACTGTTTGGATTAATGTTTTTGCTATAATTTCCTACACATTTTTTTCATATTTGTAGATTTTTTTTTTCTCCCTATGAGATGAGAACTATAAAGTTTCATCTCTTGAGGTTACACTGAGGACATTCAGGATCAGAGAGGCTGTCACTTGCCCAAGGCCACACGATTTATGGCTGATTTGAAACAGGTAGTCAGTTCTTGGGGTTTCAGTTTGGTATTGTTTTCATTTCGTGACCCTACTTCACTTAGAGGGGAAATGGTTGATATTACTGAATGGCAGAGAAACAGCAGGGGAACTTCAGGCATGGAGAAGCAGCCCATGAAGGAGAAGAACAAATGAAGCACATGGAGTATGATGCTGGAGATGGGGAGAGATGGCTGTAGGTAAAGGACAGAGGGAAAAAGGGTGCCTTAAAGGAACAGTTAGCTTACTCCAAACATTTTACATTAAAAGAAAAAACAACAACAACAACAACACCTTAAGACCACCACCACCACTTTTCTGCTTTGTTTCTATTTTGTGCTTAATAAACAATCCTTGTAACTGCCAATGAAAACAGCAACATAACCACGCTTTTCCCCTGGCACTGACTCTAAACAATCTACTGGATTTGGATCAAAACTGTAAACTGCCAGCATGTTAAAAATAAAAACAGAAAAACAAACCTGGCCTTTCTTTAGGGGTTGTAAGGGTGAATGCAGGACGAGAGCCAGAGAGAAGTGTTACTATAAAAAATAACTAGTGCAAACATCCTTGAACTGATGTTTTCTATAAAAATCTGTTGGCTGTGAATTGGAAAGAGTGAAGTGGGCAGGGACAAAGGAAAGGGAGATCAAGTGGTGTCTGCTTATCGTCAGCTAGCTTTCATGTAAAAGTCATGGCAGGGTCAGCAACAAACTAGCCAGGTGGCAACTCTAGGCCATGCTGCCATAAATAAATAGTTATGTACTAATGTCACACAACCAGAGTTAGATGCAAAGCATATGGGAATAAAATTTTCTGATGTAAATATTCAGGAAAAAAACGTGGTTTCTAAACTCAGGATCCCACTGCAGATTCTGAACTTCGAGACGCCTGGGAGAAATGAAGTGGTGAAGCTTTTTAAAAACCTGGACTAAAAGATTCTTTGAAACATAGATTACTCCCTTTCAAAAAGTCCTTAACCTTTGGCCTAAGAGAGTGTGACTATTTGGTGTAGTAATTAAGCATTACTGCGAGTTAGGTGCAAGAGTACAGACTTTGGAACCAGATTTCAGGAGTTTAAATTCTACCCTTGCTGCTTGCTTGTTCTCATGACTTCTGGGATGTTACTTAACTTTTCATGTGTCAGCTTATTCACCTGGTACAAAAGTGACTGTGATGATGATGGTGACAATAATACTGATCTCGTAGGAAGTTATGAGGATTGAGTAAGTCAATTTGTGAGGAGTCTGTGAAACAATACCTGGTTAAAAGCCATGTCCGTGTTACCTATCATTATCAAGTAGTCTTAAACAGGTTATTTAACTTATATAGACTCTCTTCTGGAAATTGATAAGCAATCCTTTACTTATACTATCTTATTTAATTTTAACAACAGCCCCATGAATTAAAAATCATGTTTAAAGACAAATGAACTGAGGCTTAAGTGGATTAAGGAATTTATTCCAGGAGGCATAACTAAACTCAACTTCCATGGAGAACTTAACTCAGATTAATATATACATATATATAATATATAAAAATATGTAACATATATTTTTATTTTATATGTATAATAGGGCCTCCCTGGTGGCGCAAGGGGTTAAGACACAAACTATGAAGCTATCTTCAGCCACTGCAGCACAAGCTCCATCCCCAGCCAGGGAGCTACCCACATGGCACAGCAGACCTCTCCTGCCTTGACCGCTGTCCCCTCAGCAGTGTATTTCAGACCATCTTCCTGTTTGTGTTCCCCACTCTGTCTCTGGTGAATCCTCTCCCCCTGCCCATGTCTCTGGCCTGTACCCCAGTTCTCGTATGCATAAATAAATAAATCTTAAAAGAAATAACCATTTACAAACAATCTAGTATCTAAATTTTTTTCATTGCTCAAAATGTTAAATTTTGAAAGTAAACATAACATTTGGCCCACTGAGAATCAAATAAAATTTTAAAAAGGGATTAAAGGCTAGGCTAACATCCTAAGAAAATGCCCTTAGGAGAGCTGAGATGGACTCAGCACAAACGCAAAACAGATTAATTCACTCTTTGACTCATTTCTCCAAACATTTATTGAACACCAACTATTTTATGAGAGCTGGGAATACAAAGACAAGAAATGCTTGCACTCCTTGAGCAAACTAACTGTGGAGAGCAATAGTGCTGGTGCAGGTTTGTTTTCTAGTCCCTTTTCCATATGGACAAAAATTCTTGGTGAGCAGCTAAAGTTGGGCGACTTCTTGAGCACAAGCCAGGCTGTCTGTTTACAGCGACCCTAGCGGGGTCGGCTCTTGGTTCCAGCTCGCAGAAGGAATACTCTGCAGGCCAGGCTCGGCTGGACGCTGCGCTAAGGCGCATTTGGAAACGTTGGGGGTCTCCCCAACCCTTAGGGGGTTCCCTAAGGTTAGGGCGCACATGGAAACGTATTCAAATTGCGCGCCTTGTCAGTGGCTTTCGCGGGCTTAAGTTTAAGGATCGCGGGCACCCGCGAGCCAGGCAGGGAACCCCGGCTTCTCGCAACTGGGAATGTAAGAGGAGCTCCGCGAGCACCCCAGGTTAACCCCAGGTGGGAGCCGCTGGGGACACCTGCCCGCTGAGAGGTAGGCGCCAACCTTGGCCCGCGGCCGCTACTTCCTGGTTGGTTTGCCCTTAACTGACATGGCGGCCGGCACCTTCTTCCGGGCACACTGCGGCTGCGCAATCCCGTCGCCTGCCCGCCCCACCGCCCCTCCCTCCCTCCCTGCAGCCGACCTGTGCTGAAACCCGGGCAGTGAAGCTGGGGGTGAAGGGGGGTATAGGGGTTAGCCAAGAAAGACGAGGGCTTCGCGCCGTGTCGCTGTGTCCCCACCCTTCATTTGCCAGCACTAAGGCTACTCCAGTCCAGGCTGCTTTTTACTTGTCCCCCCACCCCTCAGTCCCTGCCCAACATGATATTGACGAAAGCCCAGTACGACGAGATAGCCCAGTGCCTAGTGTCTGTGCCGCCCACCAGGCAGAGCCTGAGGAAGCTGAAGCAGAGGTTCCCCAGGTAAGTGCCCATCGCACCCCTCAGGCCTCTGCCTGCAGCAGCTGCCCTGGCAGCCCGGCCTGCCCTTAGGAAGCACGTGTCACACATCAGTGGGGAGGAGGTCGAGTGTCAGAGGTTAGGAGCTCAAGGAGGTGCACAGGTTTCTTTTACCTGCCTTCCACTGGAGACGCTTAATGGGAGGCTCCCCAGGTCTTGCAATTAAATTCAAGTCAACAGATGTTTATTGGAAACTTGGTATGTGGTGGGTGCACATAGTTCCTGCTCCATCAATGTCCCGTGGTAACTTGATAGATGTTAGGAATGAAGGATGGGTGGCAGGGACCTCTCAAAGTGGAAGTGGGAACTGCAGACTCAAAAGGAGGAAATAGATGTCCTTTCAGTTAGCCTCAGGAATCAAACAAGGGAGCATAGGTCTAAAGGGGCTTGTTACTGTTCCATGGTGGGTCTAATGCAATTAAGTGACCTCAGGCATTCTCAGTCCGTCTGAGAGATTGGTACCCTATGGGTACCTTGTTGTTTTAATATTGGCATTGGAACAATCATATGCACACACATTCCAGGAGTATTCATACTTCCTCGCCGCCTCCCACCCCCCATATGCCTTTTTTTCCCCAGTAATTTTAGGATTGTCCTCCTTTAAAAAAAAAATGTTCATTTATTTATGCATAGAAAAACTGGGGTGTAGGCCAGAGGTGCAAGGGTGAGAGGATTCACCAGAGACAGCGTGGGGAGCAGAACAGGCAGATCTACTAAAATACACTGCCAAGGAGAGCAGCAGGTGGGACAGGAGCGGTCTGCTGTGCCATATATGGGTCAGCTCCCTGGCCAGGGATTGAACTCAGGCCCTTGCAGTGATAACTCTGAGACTTAACCCCTACACCACCAGGGAGACCCTCTAGGATTGTCCAGTTTTCTAAGGAAAGGACTTTAGGAAGTACATACTATAGATTTCCTCATTGAAAAAAAAAAAAAAAAGGTGAAACTGGGGCTCAGGCATTACACAGCCAGTCTAGGACAACCAGGATGCTGTATTTGTGATGTGTTAGAAGTATAGAATATTTATCTTCTCATTCAAGACCAAATCTAAACTCATACCATTTGTTTTGTGACACTGAGCAATGTCAGTCCCTAATGGAGAATTTTCTTATCCTTAAGAGGATGCCCTAAAACAGATATCACTGTAGAACTAGTTTCTTGTATAATTGATATTTAAAAAGTACAGATTGAGGCATAAATTAAAGGTCTTTAGTGACCTCAATTTTCCTTTTTTTTGAACATTTCATCAGTATGTAAAAATTATTATTTTATATTTTTTACATCATTTTTCATTTTTGTACAATATATGCATTTTCTTCTCGGTTAAATCCCCCGTGAAATTCCCACTACCATTCACCCGTGAACCATCACCATGGTGCCTTGTGCTCTTACCACTCCCTTCGCCCCCCATGCAGAATATCTCTGGTTTATAGTTATCAGTTGACCTCAATTTTTCAAAGGACTCAGTTTTCCTAATCTGTTTAATGACATAATCTCTTTTACTATTCAAATTTAATTTGGGATAATATTTACTCCTTTATGGTTTTTATGAATTTCATTATGCTTGCTAACAACAAAAATAACTAATTGGAATTTAATTTTCTACCATTCACTCTTGCCAATGAACAGTGAAATGGATGAAGAGTGGTCAGCTAAGGGACTAGGTAGATTTTACTGGGCAGCGGTAAGATAGCATACACACATATATGAATTTTGCTGGGCTTTGTACTCATAGACCCACTGTATTTTTGCTTCTCTCTTCCTTTTCCTCTTTTATGCTTTTTCTTTCTTTTCCATAGCAAATGCCTTGTTCTTTCCATAAGAGTAACTTCCCCATATGCTTATCAACATTTATGATGGACAACCTTGTTTTGGGCTGCTGTGCTATCTTGTTTATTCTCTTATGTTCTTCTTTTTTTTTTTTTAGTTCATGATATGCCCAAGTATTTTTCACTTCTCCCAAATACCATTCAAGGAATATTTAACATTTCATCCATGAAATTTTATTTAGTGATACTGTACTGTTAATCTGCAAATGAAGAAATTTGCATTTGTAGAGGTTTAAATCTATAAATAACTCCTTGTACCTCAATAAACATAATTTGAAAAAAAAAAGTCATTAAGCAGCATGAGTAGGAATTCTATAAATGGTGTGATTTCAGAACTGGTTTCACAGTACTCATAATAGCATTGCCTTACTGTAGATGACTGTTGCAAAGAACTTGAACAACCTTTAGATTTGATAGTTCATTTTACCAGAGAGCCAGTTGGGTAAAGACCTAGAGATAATTTCTGGTGGTTCAAAAAGGTTAAGTGACTTGTCAAAAATCTCAGGGATGTTTAATAGTCAAACAATATCTAGAATACAGGTTTCTTGACTTTCAGTTCAGAGTTATATACTGAATTGCCCTGATTAGTTTTGTTACTAACAGCAGCAGCAATTATTTTTCCATGACTGGAATTCACATACATAGTTATAAAGAAATCGAAGTACTGAAATGTTTTAAAAAGTTGGTAAATTTCTTATTTTCCTAATTTTTAAAGCAAGTACATATTCAGTAAATAAAAGAAAAAAATATTCATAATCTTGTTAGTCCAGAAGATTGTTATTAATATTTTATGTATTTCCTTTTAGTCTTTTTTTCAGTGCAATACTGTCTCTGCTAATATGATTTTAGATCTTGCTTTTGAAATGTTGTCACATTTCTCATCTTTAAACTTTTTTACTGTTTGTTTATAATTTCCTATAATAACACATTCTAGATACACTATTCATTTTCTTATTTTTGAACATCAAGTTTGTTTTTCTAATTTTCTGATGTTACTTTTGCAGCTATATAATGCCAAGCCTACTTATTTTCACACTTTTGGATACCCTGAAGTTGGGAATGTCCTTATAACTCATTTTCAGACTTTATGGTCTCCAGATCTCTGTTAGTATTTGCCAAAATATAAATTAACTGAGAAGTTAAAAAATACTAATTAATTTAAAAATAATAATAAACAACCATTACATATTGACACTTTTATGATTATTAGTCATCATTTCAAAAAAGTAGTGAGAAAATCGCAGTGTTTTACACTTTTGCAAATTTCTTTATTGCCTGCCTTGGCAGGAGGGAATGCTTACCCGTTTCTGCATTCAGCCTGTTTTCCTGTTTGGATTAAAGAATATGAAGAAACTCTGGCCTTCATCAGATGCGTGGTTGGAAAAGGAAGAGTAATTTCAAATAATTGTGGATATTTTTGTTATTACATAAAACACAACAAGTGGTATTTTCTTAAAGGTTAATTGCAATGTGGAATGTGAAACCATATCAAGGAACTTTTCACACTGTGACATTGCAGTCCATTGGCCTATCTTGAACTTTGAGGGGATCTTCTAGTCATGCGTGATTTTATCATCATGCTTTGTTCCTTTCTAAAATGTCTGATGTGAGTTACAAATCTTCCAAATGTCACCTTTCATTACATAGTATCCCCCCCAAAAATCACATGTGCTAGTATCTCCACTGATCTCATCACAGAAGTCTAAGATCTGAAGCTGTCAGGCTTATGGTGGTAGATACAGAGTTTTCCAATATTTGAATTTTCCCTTGAAAACTCCAATTTTGGCAACAAATACTATCGGTTGTTTCCCTTGAAGTGACAGGCTTACGTTGTTTATTTTTAAGAAAATGTCTGCCAGATATCCAAATCTGAATAATCATACTTTGTTCATCAGTCATTAAAATAAAAGTGGTGTTCCATAGAAAAAGCGCTAGTTTAGCTCTCAATTATACAAGTGCTTTCCTTGGAGCCAGGGTCATTTTCCATGGGAAGTAGATGCACTTTGTGCTCACTTCTTATTTTGTCATAAAGAACATAAAAAGGATGAGTATTCATGGATTGAGATTTAATAAAATCAGTAAGTGAATCATAAAATATTCTTACATGAAACTGGCCTTGTCCTGCTCTCCAAATATGTGGTGGTGAGCAGTACAATGATGCATAGGACAGTTGTTCCTCTTTGCTCAGGCACGGAAGTGTTGCCTGCCATTGGTGCAAATGTCATGTAGGAAAAGGCAAATCATGTCTTACTATTTCTACAAAAATAACTTTGATCTTATAGATCCCCTAAGAGGGGTGTCAGACATTTCAGGAGTATACACTTTGACAACCACTAGGTGTTTCTGATCAAAGAGTATTTATGCTTTGAAGGATTTTGAATTGTATTGACAAATGACTATAAATAAGACTTATTAATTGGTACTATTAACCCTAGTGCCAATGTTTTATGGGAGCGTCTATCTCTACAACTTTTGAGGAGAATCATTATTTAATCTTTAATATGATTGATAAGTGTGACATCTCAATTTGCATTTTTTGTGATAGTGCATTGCACTTTTCCATAAATGTTTACCTATCATTTAATTTCTTCTTCTTGAATTACCTGTTTGGTAGCCTTTACCTAATTTTCTAGTGTAGTGTTTGATTTTTTTTTTTTTTATTTATTTACTATGTTAAGGAAGTTGATCTTGCTATGTCAGATTTGGTGTAGATATTTCCTCAGGTGTTTGATTTTATATATTCTGTTTTTTATGTACTTTAGATTTATGCTTTTTCTTTGTCTTTTTGCTTTTATGCCAAGGAAGACATTTCCTATCCTAACATAATTTCACTTAATTTTCTCTAAGTGCTTTATAATTTACTTTCTTATTCTTAATTTTTTCATTTCTAGCTGAAATTTTTTTTAGTATGTGTTCAGAGATAAAGATATAGTTTAACTTTTTCCCAAACTTTATTGTTATTTTACACTGTGTCTTCCACTAGTTAGCCTCATTCCTCCATGATTTCCTTCTCCCTCCCTGAAATTACAAATCTATGCCTTTCCAAGTCATTACGTTGGTCCTTCTTTACTCTGGTATCAGAATCCACCAATTAAAAATGAAGGCCTAGGTCTTTGTGATGTGTCATATTTTATA